GAATTGAATAAGAACACAGAATAAACACTCTCAGCCTTACAGAGCCAGCCAAAGCTTTTTTGCTTTTACAGCCTAACGGCAAAAGCAACCTTGCTGGTAGTTGGCTAATAATTCATTCAGATGGTCTAGTTTGCAGCCTATGAGGGAAGAGAACAAGATGGTGAAGGGATTAGGGGAAACCTTCCAAAATCCTTTTTTGCCAAAGAAGTTAAGGAGCTCAAGTGGCCAAGAGTTTTCTTTCTAAACGGGTTAGTTTAACATTCTGGACAGTCTGTGATTCAAATTCATCCATTCATCTACACATTGTTTCAGTGAGGTGGCCTCGTGGGAAGAATTCAGCTGAATTCTTTATCACTGAAACAGTCCCACACTCCATCTGGTTTTGAATGGGATGTCAGCAGAGTGATGAGCATTTGTGGTCCCTGTGTACACTGTGTGTGTGTGTGTGTGTGTGCGCGCGCGTGCGCTCACACACTCACACATATACATACACTTATCTCATTAGGTTTTCTGACAAACTTTATAGATAGTAACAAGAAGGCCCTGGTTTAAACTGAAGAGCCTCCTTTCCAGTTTCTGTAGTTGCTACTGAGTCAGCTCTGATTCATGGCAACCTTATTTATAACAGAACGAAATGTTGCCCGGTCCTGTACCATCTTCATGATCGTTTTTCTGTAGTATTTATTCCCACATAGAGAGATGTGTTGGCAAATTAATCTAAAAAGACCTCACCTTTCTAAAGCTTAACAGAGAAGGGAAAATTCCTCAACAATTAATTGATCCCAGATTACTTTCGTCACCATTTGCACCTTTTTTATTTTTTTAAGCAAAGCTTCCATTTCAGTGCTCCAAAGCAATATTTATTACTTATTGTCTGTAAGTTTTCTGGGATGTCTCTCAATTCTACGGCAGTTTTTTCCATGACAACACAGCCAAAAAGCTCCTGTCCCTGTATAACAAATTTTGATACCTAAGGAAACATTCTTCAAAAATAACACAAGTATAGTATATTCTTAGTATATTCTTAAAGAGCCCTGGTGATGCAGTGGTTAAAGTGCTTGGCTGCTAATTGGAAGGGTGGTGGTTCGAACCCACCAGCCACTCAGGAGGAGAAAGATGTGGCAGTCTGCTTCCATAAAGATATACAACCTTGGAAACCCTATGGGGCAGTTTTACTCTGTCCTATAGAGTCACTATGAGTCAAAATTGACTCAACAGCAGTGTGTTTGGTTTAGTTTGGTTTATAGTATATTCTTGCTAGAATTTCTAATTTATATTATTTCTAAGGAAAGAACGATATTCAAAATAGTGCCCCAGATTGAAAACATTGCTTGAGACAAACATATATCACAGTGTTACATAATCTTTGTTACTGACTTTATCATCATTCCAAAAACTGAAGTATAACTTACACATTCTAGATCATATCAAACATAAGTAAAAAAATGCTGCAGGGTATTAGCCAAATATGGAAAACATGTACATAACATACACTTTGAAAACTTGTTTATAGTTAAGGAACTATTCAGTTCATTTCAACAAACGTGTGTTGACTATTTACATGTACTGAGCACGTGTTAAGTGCTGTAACAGCTGCAAGCATTGCTGCCTTTGCTTCCATTACTCACCGTGGTCCTCCTCCTGTCTCTCAGCTCCTCTCCTCCTCCTTAGCCTCCTCTCCCTCTTCTCAGCCCTTAAATATACCTATTCCTTATGTTCCTGTCTTTACCCCTTCCCTTTTCTCTCTATTCTGTAATAGAGGAAAGCAAACAGAAGATTATGAGAGACGCAAGACCCATATTGTGCAGGGCCTTGAATGAGTTGTTTGGTGTGGGTTAGTATCTCCCAAAGTGTGCGCTGAAGACCAATAGTAACCTAAAGGTAGCCATTTATAGGTATTCTGCCAAGAAATGGGGAAGGGGAAAATTCTGTGGTTGAGCAAAATTAAACAGATCTTCATTGGTAGGCTTCACAAAATCTTTAAAATTCTCCTGTGCATTGTGGAGGGTAGTGTATACACACCGTTTCCCAAAACTTACTTGATCTTGCAATACATCTTCCACTGGATAGACAGTAATACCCCAAGGGAAACAGTTACTTTGGCTATGAGAGCTGCTAAGGGTTTTTGAGCAGGAAAGCTGTACTTTTCCTGGGGAGTGTTCAGATCATTGTATCTTGGAATTCATACCAAAGTAAGTGACTCCCAAAGCAAATAGGAAGCAGCCATCAGGAAATGGATGCTCTAAGAATACTTCCATTTTAAAAATTAAACCAAACCAAACTTATTGCCGTCAAGTCGATTCCAAGTCATAGCAACCCTATAGAACAGAGTAGAACTGCCCCATAGGGTTTCCAAGACTATAATCTTTATGGAAGGAGACTAACACATCTTTCTCCCAGGAGCAGCTGGTGGATTTGAACCACTGACCTTTCGGTTAGCAGCCTAGCACTTAACCACTGCACCACCAAAACCTACCATTTTATATGGATTAGGAGAGAAGAGCCAATAATCCAACTGATACTTTTCCTTTTGGAATTTCTACTAAGAAGCCCTTTCATGAGGAAAAAATAAAGACAAAGGAACCTTTAGGAGTTAATGCTCTGTCAGCCACTTGTGAATCAACGGGTTTGGTTTAGAGCTTTAAAGACGACTGTCGTTGACTAGCCTTCACTGTCATCGTGGCCATGTGACTTTTGAAAATGCTGTCATTAGTGATATTTTGATGTGTGGATTACTCCTATTTTTTTCAATTCTCCATTTTGGCTACTAAGGCTAATTCAATGTACTTCTTGGTCCCTTTATTCCCACCTTGGTATGTCTTTGCACACTTTATTCCTTCTACTCAGGATGTCATTTCCTTCCACGTATGCATATCTAAATTCTGTCCTCCACACTTTGGTTTATGAGGACTTCCCTCAGCCAGCAGTAATTGCTCCCCCCTCACCATACACACCCAAAGCACTTTGCTTTTGCTTTTCTGATGGTACTTCTAGTACCATGCCACACGTTGCCGTTAATTCATGTCCATCTCCTACTGGTTTGTGGGTGCCAGAGGACACATATCATGTCTTGCACATCTCTGGCTCCTCCACCTGGCCTCTTAGAGTTATTGCACAGTGTAGTTACTCCATGGGTGTTGATTGATGAAAGGGTGACTGTCTAATTATTAAACCAAACCAGTTGCCATTGAGTCGACTCCTACTTATGGTGACCCCGTCTATGTCAGAGTAGATCTCTGCTCCATAGGGTTTTCAGTGACTGATTTTTTTAGAGATAAGTCTCAGCTATGAAGTATGCAAGACAAGGCATTGGCACAGGGGCAGTGACTACTTTCCTTAGCCTGAGGAGGGAGTCACAAGAAGGAAACGTTCCCCATGCCATCTCAGAGAAGGAAAACTTCACTGACCAGCAGGAAATTCATTTCTCTTTGCCTCTTCCAGTGGTTCTTCAGACTTTTTAACCTCATAACCACTTCTTCAAATCCTTGCACAGATGAAAGAAGTGCTGCTCACATGGGGGTGAGAGGTTTCTCCCCAGTTGGCCCCTTACCTCTTCATGGAAGGCCCAGGGTCCCCTTGGAACACAGTGTAACCATTGGATAGCCAGTTTACCTTGCTGGGTATTTCACCGGCTTTTACTGTGCTTATTATCACATTCTTGTTCTCCAAATATCTCTTTTTGTACCAGAATATATGATGAGATGGTTTTACTAATCCCTAGAAGTTTTCTTTTTGCCTTCAACAACTTGGTAACTACTCTCTTTTCTGAAAGGCATTAACATGCACAACCACTACAGTTAACTTCCGTGCTCATTAAGGAAGCGGAGAACTAACAGTTACATTGTCGTAATCTGACAAAGCCATCCAAATCTATGCATGTTTTTTTGAAAGCTCACTAAACATGCTTCTAAATCCCCTAAAAAGCTACTAAACTGCTTTGGCAGCCATTAGTCCAGCATAAGCAGAGGAACTCTTTTCAGTAAGTGAACAAACAGAGAAAATATGCTGAATGGCTGGACAAATGTGTTTCAGCTGGCCCTTTCATTTACTGATATAAGGGCGCAGTCAATATCAATCACTGTTTTCCCTGTTGCCCTGAAAAATCACAATATCTCTTTTCATCCCGCAAGCTCTTTTCACCACAGTAATGTGTCTTTAGAATGACACTGGCATCAGCCTGCTTCCGCTGTCTGAAGTCCAGAGAGCTTAAAAACACATTTCAGGATTTGAGACTTGAACCTTCCTCCCCTTCCGTTTTCCTACCGCCTACTCTCTCCCCCTCCCTCTGCCAGCCGCTCCGCCCCTCTCCCCAGACTCTTTTCAATTCTTCCAGCTTTCCTCACTGAGTAAACAGAAATCACTTCTCTGTTCTAATGTAGTTCTTCAAAATAAACGTAGACAACCCTATCTGATATTCCCAAGATTTAAGAACCCGTTGAAGAGATGCACATAAAGAAATGCTTTTACATGTTGGTGATACATCAAAGGTTGAAAGGAATGTGGAAATTCTATGGTATGACAAGGTGTGCCTGTGCTGAGCCTCACTCGCTATCAGAGCATCTCCTCCCTCTTCCCTCCCCTAGCACTTGGTTCCTGCCTCCCCACCACATATACACACTCACCCTTTGTTGCTGTGTATTAAAAGTGCGTACGTGCATGCCTGTTCCACCTCTAAGATCATCAGCTCCAGAGCAAATGCCACATCTTATACACCTTTCTGAAGCGCCTAGTTCTGAGTACTGTAGTTAATAAATGGTTTTGGAATGAATGAATGAGCAGGATGTTCTGTATATGATTGCTTTACATCCTTTTGAAAATCTTAAGTGGAATAACTCTTGCAGATACATTTTAGCAGAGTGCTTAGAGTTGTAGAAGTTAGTACAGATGAATTTTTGAAATATTAGTTAATATCAGTACCCTAAAAAGAGTATTAATTGTTTTGTAACCCCCACTGTTGTTTTTGTTTTTGTTTTTGTTTTTGTTTTTTTCTTTTATTGCAGATTATAGCTGTCTGTAGAGAGGCAGCCCTTCTGGCTCTAGAGGAAGACATTCAAGCCAAATGCATCATGAAGAAACATTTTACTCAAGCCTTGAGCACTGTGACACCTAGAATTCCTGAATCGTTGAGACGTTTTTATGAAGATTATCAAGAGAGGAGCGGGCTGCATACACTCTGAGAAAATTTGTATCTTCATTATGCTAAAATACTCTTTCTATAGAAAACATTTTTTGTTTTGTTAATTTTGTCTTGAGAGTGTCAAAAAAATTCCTTAATAGGTAAAATGTCTGAAATATGTTTGCTGGAATTGGGGGCCTATAGTTCTTATCAGTATTTTAAGTCATATGGTTACAATGAAAATATCTCTGGACATGAGTTTAAGTCAGTTTTAACTGGAAATGTGTACTGGTTTTTAAAAGACAAACCTTTAGCTTTTTCGTTTTTGAGCTGGTTTGTTCACCCCATGGAATGCGTTCGTTACTCCAGAAACTGTTTCAGTACCTTCCTAAATCTAAACCTGAGGACATAGATTTCATACAAGAATAACATAGGAAAGTTTAGAAATTGGGAGTGGATGAATGTATGGTGAAAATTTACAAGTCTTTATTTTTGATGGCCAGCCAGGTTTATTTGTCTTTGTTTCCAAATATGTATTTGTTCTCATTATAATTACACACCTACATTTTTGCTTTAGCCTTCTTAACCTGTACTGATGGCAAAGAAAAAGAGTTAAGAGTTCTTTTATATAATATAATATCCTTTGAAAGCTTGAAAAATTGTAATTGTAAGCCCAGTCTAGGCCTAGAACAGTAGGCTTGTTTTGATTTTTTTCCCCCACAAAATGCGATAAATAAATCATATGAAGTGTACATGTTTTAACTTGTACGCATTTTCAAGTTACCAGTAAATGTTTTCAGTTCAAAGATAACTAAATTGTACTCTTAATCATTTCTCTTAGGTTACATTCTAAATATGTGTAGTTATGCTGTTAGTTATTTATCTTTAGGATTTCTTGACACTTTAATACTCTTGAAAACACTGTTGGAAAATGATTCCCTGACTTCCAGTTCAGAAGCTGGCAATGGAAAGAATGTGCACTTAAACCTGGTCACTGTAGATCTTTGAAAATTCCCAGAAAAACAAGTCAGGTGAGAAATACCTGATTATCAAAATAATGTGCTAGGTAGCTTTGTGGTGGCAGATATTCTGAAGTCATGTCTCAAGTATTTCATCCTTTGACCATCAGAAATAAATTTAGAAGGTTTTGATTTCCAGGCAATATTGGTTTACCATTACATAACACCGCCCAGGAGACCAAGAATATTACTACTGTATGGAACTGTGTTGTCCGATATAGTAGGCGCTAGTCACTCATAGGAGCCCTGGCAGCACAGTGGTTAAGAACTATGGCTGCTAACCAAAAGGTCGGCAGCTCAAATCCACCAGCCACCCCTTGAAAACCCTATAGAGCAGTTCTGCTCTGTCCTGTAGGGTGGCTATGAGTCAGAATCAACTCAACAGCAACGGGTTAGTCACATATGGATACTTCCATTTAAATTTTATTAATTAAAATAAATAAAATTAAAAATTCAGCTCATCAGTTGTGTTAGCGACATTTCAAGTGCTCAGTAGTAGCCACATGGGGCAAGTGTCTGTCGTATTGGACAGAGCAGGTTACAGAACATTTCCATCGCTGGAGAAAGCTCTTTGGACACTGCTGATTTAGAAAATAAGGCTAACACAGTGAAACGAATAGAATCTGGAAATAAAATTACTTCCGTGCTCTCCATTTTCCCTTTGGTTATTACTTATAAAGAAAATTATGAAGAGAGGAACCCTAACCTCTACCATATAAATGCACAGCTGAGGGCACAAGAAAATAAGAGAAATGTTAGCCCCAAGGGCCAAAACAAGAAAATAAATCCCATCCTCAGTAAAATAAAAACCAAAACAGTAAGCTTGAACAGAAACTGAGTCTCTCGGGCTGGGGACTGTGTAGTGGGGAGGAGGATAGCAATCTCAATCAGCAAAAGTTTAGATGGTAATGGCCACTGAAAGCTTTCAGCCCATATGCCATAGAGATTATAACAGAGTCTCACACATAATGCCCAGATCTTTAAAGACCAGCACCATCAATGTAAAGGTTGAATAGAAAAGAAATCTTCCCACTGGATAGGAAAACTACAAGGAACCTGTCTGACTTGGCCTGTGTTTTGGATTTTTAAAAAAAAAACAAGAAAAGGTCCCTCTGAGAATTCTGACTATGGACTTTCCTATCCAAGGCTTTGGGTTTGAATTCAAACTACCTTTGTGATATAGAACCTCAACACCTAGAAATTAAATGAAAACATGAATCCAAGCTAGAAATATCCTTGGAAAGACTAGCATTTGCACTAGTTGTAGGGACACATTAACCCCAGCCACAGTGGATACCAACAGCTAAAGCCCTGCTTCCAAAGAGCGCAGGATCCCAAAGGATGTGGAACAGTGGGCCACTCACACACTGCTGGTGGGAACATAAATTGGTACAACCACTTCAGAAAGCAATTAGCATATATAGTAATAATGAGGATCCTATAATCCAACAATTCTACTCCTAGGTATACAAGTAGTCCCTAACTTACGACAGGGTTCTATTCCAACAACTTTGTCTTAAGTCGAACACCTCATTTTTTTTTTAATTTTCGTTACTTTTGTCTTTTACTATCAGTGCAATTCTGTCTTTAAATGCCTTAAAGCCAGGCATCAACTTTACCTCTTTGTGAGAAAGATAACATCAGCTAATTATGCCCTGCAGCATTGTATGTAGTATATACTAATAAAACAGTATGATGTACAAAAAATTAAAAATGCATGGTCTTAAAGTGTAGTTCATCACAACTCAAATGTATCATAGGTTGGGGACTACCTGTATATCTCAGATCAACTCTCACATGTGTACAATGAGATAAAAACACAAAGTTAATAGCACCATTATTTTTAAATAGTAAGAAACTGGAAACCATCTAAATATCCATCAGTAGAAGAGTGGATTAATATGGAATGGTCATAGAATGAAATACTTAAATGACAGTAAAAAAAAATCAGCGCTTCAGGTAAAAACAGGGATGAATCTCAAAAACAAAGCTGAGGAAAAAAAAAACATTTTAGAAGAATACTTAACTATTTAAAGTTTAAAGCATGCAAAATAATAAGTTTTTTATGGGCACATTTATTTACATGGATGGAAATGAAAAACACTGACTACTGGGAGTAATTTTCTCAGGGGAGAAAAGTTGAGATGTTTCAGTTGTATCAGTGATGTTTCATATCTTAAACTGGATGATGGGAATAACGTGTTCATTATAATGTAACTTATACTTTTTGTATGCCTAAATATTTGCATGATAATTTTTTAAAGGTAGGCCTTAAACCAACATTTTGTTATGGAACACCGCCAAAATGCATCCATGGCCATGTTATGTGTTCCAACCAACATCGCAGTTATATCGTTCAACCCAAATCCCTGAACTTGCAGTGGAAGTCACAGTGCCCACAGCCCCGTGTGTCTGGAAAATCAAGAAGACCGGGTATGAGGGAATAAAATGCAAAGAGGCAAGTAAGAGATCAGGCTTTTAAGACCCAGGAAATGAGATAAATTTGTTGGTGAAAGTTCGATGTTAGGTGATGTATCCCCTAAGGTATGGAAGAAGTTAAATCTAAGAGTAAGACATCTGTTTTCATGGTATTGTGGTCATACACGGAGTTGGCAGTTAAGAATTTTAAAAGATTTTAGAGCACTACTTCTTTATTACAAACCAATTGTTTTTTATATATCCAAATAACTATTTTAACACTGAAAAGGTGTGATATTTCTTTATTTGAAGTTTGTACAAAATCTGAGTCACAAAAAAGAACAAGTCAGGTATCACTAATAGCTACATGATCTCCATGAAGTTTTTATTTTTAATTCTAGAGCCTCATTTAAAGTAGTGTACAACCCTATTATTTGGAATTTGTTTGTGATTGAATACACAGTATAGTTCATGGAAAATTTAAGTTCAACGAGGAAAGAAAATGTCCAGCTTCCTGTCTTGGAAAGATACTTGACTTTTAGGCACCTATTTGGTCAGAAGTTTGGTCCGGATTCTTTTGGAGTTGCAGGAATATTCATACTGATGTGTCTTTTCAGTGTTCCAAGAGACGTTAGTTTGAAGAGAGTACCCCATTTTTTCTTCTGAAAACGAAACTTAGAAAAATAGCTTCAAATTTTTACTTCTTCATAACAAAAAAATGTATGTATAAGCTTAATACTAACTGACCTAACTTAGCTTGAAAAATGTTTAGTTCTGTGTTATTTCTAATGCATAACACAGCTTTTAAAAATAATGTGTAGGTTTTTCATTTTGGAAAAATAATGATTGAATTTATAGAAGAACCAAAATTTGTGAATAATTTATCTTAATCAAGAGAGGGCTATAGAAAATTTGCTGTAAAGACGGAACAAAATTATTTCCCTGGCCTGTTGTTACTTAAATTCCTGAATGTTAGATTAGTAGAGTCTTGGTTTCTTCTGTCATGTTTCCCTGAGTCCTTCCTTTAAAGATGAGCACACACCAAAGCACCCTTTGAAATTATGTATGGATTGAATTAACATTGGTTTCCAAATGAGGTCCACATAGGAGTCCAAATACTCCAAATTTATTTGCCTTTTTTCCTGAGGTTTTCGTTATGCAGTTGTGTGCATGGATAGGCTTTTTATCCAATACCTATGTACCCAGTACCAATGTTTTAGAAAGCCCTGGCAATGCAATGGTTAAGCACTTGGCTGCTAACCTAAAGGTTGGCAGTTCGAACCTACCAGCCGCTCCTTGGGGGAAAAGACCTGGTGTTCTGCTCCCATAGAGATTACAGCATAGGAAACTCTATGAGGCAATTCTACTACGTCACTATAAGTTGGATAATATCCATAAGCCTACCAGGAAGACCAGTTAATACAACTACTGTTCAAGTTTACACACCAATCACTAATGCGAAAGTTGAACTGAAGATTTTTACCAACTTCTGCAGTCTGAAATTGATCAAACATGCAATCAAGATGCATTGATAATTACTGTTGATTGGAATGCAAAAGTTGGAAACAAAGAAGGATCAGTAGTTGAAAAATATGACCTTAGTGATATAAACGATGCAGGAGGCCAAATGATAGACTTTTGCAAGACCAATGACCTATTCATTGGACCTTTTTTTCAACAACATAAACTGACTATACACATGGACCTTGCTGGATGGAATACACAGGAATCAAATTGACCAGATCTGTGGAAAGAGATGATGGAGAAGCTCAATATCATCAGTTAGAACAAGGCCAGGGGCCAACTGTGGAACAGACCATCAATTGCTCATATGCAAGTTCAAGTTGAAGCTGAAGAAAATTAAAACAACTCCACGAGAGCCTAAGAACAACCTTGAGTATCTCCCACCTGAATTTAGAGACCATCTCAAGAACAGATTTGCTGCATTGAACACTAATGACCAAAAAGACCAGATGAGTTGTGAGATGACATCAAGGACATCACACATAAAGAAATTGAAAGGTCATTAAAAGGACAGGAAAGAAAGAAAAGACCAAAATGTATGTCAGAAGAGACTCTAAAACTTGCTCTTGAACATAGAATAGCTAAAGCAAATGTAAGAAATGATGAAGTAAAAGAACTGAACGGAAGATTTGAAGGGCGGCTGGAGAAGACAAAGTATTATGATGAAATGTGCAAATACCTGGAGTTAGAAAAACAAAAAGGAAGAACACGCTCAGCATTTCTCGAGCTAAAAGAACTGAAGAAAAAATGCAAGCCTCGAGTTGCAATATTGAAGGATTCTATGAGCAAAAAATTGAACAATGCAAGAATCATCAAAAGAAAATGGAAGGAATACACAGTCACTGTACCAAAAAGAATTGGTCGACGTTCAACCATTTCAGGAGGTAGCATAGGATCAAGAACCAATGGTACTGAAGGAAGAAGTCCAAGCTACACTGAAGGCATTGGTGGAAAACAAGGCTCCAGAAATTGACGGAATACCAATTGAGATGTTTCAACAAACAGATGCAATGCTGGAAGTGCTCACTCTTCTAAGCCAAGAAATTTGGAAGACAGCTACCTGGCCAAGCAACTGGAAGAGATCCATATTTGTGCCCATTCCAAAGAAAAGTGATCCAACAGAATGCAGAAATTATCAAATAATATCACAC